TCAAAAGGCAACCTCAGTTTCACATATTTACTACGAGGCTAGACTAGCCTGATGTTTAGTGTCCTGCTGTGGTACCAGTCATAGTGAATCCAATTCCGCTGTGACTTCCACCTCTGCCCCCTCTACCCTTTCCTTTCCACCGTAAAGGAGCACGCCAACAATTTCACAAATGAATATCATACTTGTCACAAAAAGTACGACATTGTATAATATCGCCTGTGGCTTTGAAGGAAGCTTTTTTAAGGCAAGACTGTGCAACTTTAACCGCAAGAAAGCATTTCAACGGTGTTTTTCAGTGGTCCGTCCTACATGCGTCTGACTGATATGTTTAATGTTCCCCTCCACTCCAAATCTGTTTTTCTTCTTGTTCCTGTAGTGGGATGTTGGAGCTTCACTGTGCAGAATGATGCATTTGTATCTGAGTTTGATACTAGAAGGATGTTTTCACATTAATCTGCTGAAAGTGGAAAGTTTCTCTGTGCTCATTGAAAATCTGATTTTCAGGCATAATTTGTCACAGTTAGTTTGGGAGTTAATGCTTGTCCAATTTCTGGTTTATACAAGTGTGATGTCAAAACTTGAAGCCACCAGTGCACATACACTGAGAATGGACTTTACAGCAAAGTAGGAGGCATTTGGTGTCCAGCAGCAAATTTTAGAACTGAACAACATATAATACATATTAAAAGTGTCTTAATACATGTCTGGGGGGATCTATAAATTGCAATCAACCCAGCTGTCTACACAGGCAGTGTTCCCGCTCACATTTCACACTGTACATGTGTAAACACGACCCAAAGTCTATTTTCACAGATCAAGTCTGTGTTTTTGCACTAACTGGTGAGCGCTGCCAAAATGTGGTTGACCTACACTCAATACTGTATCGGAGGACATCCTGTGAAAACCCAGACGGAGCACTTAAGGTGTCCCTGCTGCACTGCTACACCTCCTGTGTAGCTACAGCTACCTAAATGACACCCCTTTGTATACCGTCCATGCAGCTACTGTACATAAGCAGAAACTGTGCTATTTTTGCAAATGTGCCAGAGCTAGCCTAAACTTGTATCGTAACTTATAACACATTTCTCATACAGTCTCATGGGCTTCAATGGAAATGAAGGAGAGGGGGAGGGAATATTCAAATGTACAAATAATGTGCCCTTGCATCCTGTCCTTCATCCGCCCCACCTACTTGCCCCACCCCCTCTCTCTTTAACTTACGCTCATTCATTTAAATTGCTAAGTACAGTGTCAGATAATTAGAGGGCAAAACCGGATAGGTTGCTGCCTCTGCTTTATTTTTATTAGTCAGCGTTTTAAATAACCAGGAAATATGGACATATGAAAGTCGGACACTAAACAGAGAAAAGGATATTAGGACTGGGAAATTCCATCATCATGCCTGCTCAGCATTCAATCACACATATTGAACTAATGGCAACTGGTGATGAAACTGCTCTTGGCTTTATGCAGAACTATACTCAGAAAGAACTGCTGATATTCAGTGGAAACAGATGATTTATCCCATATGCCATAAACCTAGTGGCGGTGTTGCTTTAGCTGGAAGATCTACTTGTTTACTGTAACTCCAAACAGTTTTGAGAACGAGCAACCAGCCAGCAGATAGAGTATGTAAGAATGTAACTACACAAACAGAAACCCATGCTAACAAATATGCAGTATTTGTGTTTGCACATTTGACCATGTGTGTGTGCACAAACACTCAAACCTCGGATGAACACTTTCAGCTTAGTGAGAAATGTATTTCAAATCCCTGTTTACACTTGGAGCCAAGCACAGTCTTTTGATTCAAACATTACGCAGGGAGTGCCTCGCCCTCACACTCAAACACTTCACAGATGCGCCCTAAGCCCGCTGTGTTGAGGACGGGAGTGTTGCTGCATATGAATGTGTCATTGTCACTTCCACACACACCCACAGGCAATCCCATCCATCTAGCACAAAGGCCAGACATCCTCCTAGGTGTGTCAACACTGTACAGCATGTCAAAAAACCACAGCAATGCTTTATTATACTGACCTATTATTAAGGAGAGATTAGAGACGCCGTGCCAGAGAGATAACTGTTACATCATGGTAACTCATCTAAACCTGATGGAGTTAAACTGAGGCCTAAAAAACCAGTGTAAGCGCCTGGTATGCTGTTTGCAGTCAACAGCAGCCATTTGTTCATGTTTGTATGTGTGTGTGTGTGTGTGTGTGTTCTAAACCTGTAAGTCAGGACAGGTTGCCACACGTCAGCCTGTGAGCAATTCACGCTTCTGGTTAAAGAAGAAAATGTTAGAGGAAGACAAAAGGAAGTAAAATTAAAGTAAAGTAAAGAGAGATTTATCAGCAGCAGCAGCAGGGGATCAAAAAGTGTTTTAGCCGCCGGCCTGTGTTTGGTTAGGACGAAGGTGAAATGAGAGTAATCTTATGAGTCTAGTGTGTGTTGTCAGCGTGTGTCCTGTGTTAATAAGCCCAGCTGTGATGTGTGTGGGTTGTTATTTGTGTCAGACACAGGAAAGAATATGTTTAAATGTAAGCCGCTACCAAATTATCTTTCACAAGTATAGAAAGATACCAGTACCAAACAAGATTTTGCTGTGGATGTCTGGGCACTGCTGACAGTTCAAACACCACTTTTCCTTTTAAATATTTCGGCATCTCAAAACAAGAGACATTGAGCTTGAGGAAGATGTGGGCCCAACCAACCAACCAACCGTCAGTAGACACCAGCAACTGCCATTTTTGAGTTAATTCATTATTTCCTTACTACTTTTGTGAAAATTCAGAATGTGTTTTTTCGATGAGCAAAGAGGGCAAATGCCCCTGGACCCCAGATAACCAGGGGCCCCAAAAGCTTGGCATACAATATCAACTAAAGTGGGTTCTTTATCTTCTGTCTTGCAAAGCGCTCCTGTATCAAAATTTACTTTTGAGACCTTTATTGCTCACACTCAGTTGTGTTAAATTGCTTCAATATGACAGAAAACTACTTCAGCAGAAAACATTTGCGAGCAACTTCAAGGTGAACGGTTGCAACCATTTAAAAAAGTAAATGAACATTTTAAAGGGCGTATGACAAAATGACATCAACTAATCCTGAAAACAGCACATAAAACATGTCGCGCTACATGTTTTTTTTGTGCCCAGATGTTCTGCTTTACTAGTGGTGGTGTGCCTCCGCCTTCATGAGTCAGGAATCACAAGAGCTTTTTACTGAACCTGCTTTAACATTGCATCCAGCACACCTCACGAATATTAAGAAAATGTCCAAATCTCGGGTAATGATCACATCTGTTCCAGAAAACAATTCCATTCCGGTGCTGTGAAAAACAAAAACATTGCTCCCAAAAGTGTCTTGACACAAATTATGATTTATAGTATTTTTTTTTTTTTAAACTCCTGCCAAACACACTTACTACAAAATACACAAAGGAGTACTGCATTTATCTTTGGGAGCAATGAACCACTGAAACATTAAGCTCTTTGTAGTAAATGAACACTGCCTGTCTTTGATCAGTGCAATGCACGTCAAAACAGTGGAGGTGTGATGGGTAAATGTGTCACTTCTGTGCTGTTTTAATGCCACAGTGTACACCTGAAGAGAGAGAGAGAGAGAGAGAGAGAGAGAGAGAGATGGGGGCTAGTGAAAGAAATGAATCAGAATTATTTCACACACATAATTGTAATTTTACACCATACGAGTCCCACGAAAATGAAGATGGATCTGCCGACTTGTTTCATCATGCCATGCCTTCTTTTTTTTGCCAACACAACAAAGCCAAATGCAATGGAAGTGATTACTGCATAACAGACATGAGAACCGAGAAGCTGCTGAGCTGTAATCGGTTCCAACATGCTTTTCTTCATCCACATGCTGTGTTATTTGATTATCTGTCCCTGTATATCCACACAGTATATTTAGTCATCATCCTGCTCTGTCAGCCTGTGACTGTGTTATGACTGAGCTGCAGGCACATGCTCCTTGTAAACATAAGCAGCTTGCTACTATCTTGAATCCGTACATGGTGCTTTGGCAGTGGACGGACATGTTCAATCAATATAATCCACTTAACTGGGATGGACACAGATTACTTCAAGGTTAAACAACCTGAATGAATTGCCACTGATACGCCAGTTTGTGATATTAAAACGTTTTCCATTAGTGCAGCCGTGCAGCAGCTATAACCATCGGGTATGGTCTGTTGGTGTTTATTTTCCATAGTTGTGGGTATTTGACTAGATGTTCCAACTTACGTATCCCGGACCCGCTTGTACGGGAAGCACTTGGACTCCAAAGGGGGCCACTTCAAAGCACGGATACGGAGGTTGCATAAAAGCAACACAACAATGCGGCCACGGATTTGATGCCAGTAAATGCTATTGGCTAAACCCATTCTGTTGTCAGAAGTTCCCTCCGCTATGGCTGTTTTAAAGCTTTCAGGATGTCTTCCGCAACCTTCCCGGTGCCACTGGTGCCAAGTTATCCACTTCCCACTGACGCAAGCCGGGCGCTCAGAGATGGAGTTTAGGGGTCCCTGCGGAGCCTTCACTAATGTTAAAGAGAACCAGGGTCTTCTACTTTTGCTCGATTGTCGGGAGCGTCTCTAAACGCTCATCCTGTCTTAAGAACACTCTTGGGAAGTGAAAAAAAGACTGCCAATGTAAACTTTAGAAAACCCCCAGATCCTAAAATACACTGACAAACACACATAGGCTAGTTTATATTGTATTTAACTATAGAGGAAATGTCATTCGTGTAATTGGATATATATATGTATAACTATAGGACATATAGGTGAACATATACCTAGCGATCAAAACAATGTGTTATTTTTAACTTTAAACAAAATTCTAATTTAAAACATTCACTTGGATAAATCCCATTACTCTGTATGATGCCCAGAAGAAATAAAGTGAACAACACGCCAACCCCATTAACTCGAAATCATCTTTTCACTCGGTTTATCCACTCACACTAAGCCGGGGTCTCACCTGAAGCTGCGAGTCCAGACAGGACTGTGAGGAAATAGAGCCCTTTTACGCACATTGGATGGATGGCAGGCTGTCCGATGACCAAGAGACCGGGAGTCAGACACCTAACCCGCTGAGACTCCTCCGCCGACTCACAGAGACAGGAAACCCGGCCGACAAGTCTGTTGATTTTTCTTTTTTTTCGAGAGGGAGGATAAAAACATGAAGTTAAACGGCCCTAAGAGTCCTCTCCTCTACCCTGTCTCTCCAAAGACGCGTCCCAACTCGCTGCTCCCCTCATACATTTCATTTCAGCACCCTCCCACCACATTTTCGGGCGGAGTAACAAAGTCGTCCACTCTCCTCGCTGCCTTCTTATCTCCCTCACACGCATGTTAAACCCATAGCCGAATTCTTGATGGTCACCCAACCTGTTCTACTACTGCGTAAAACACATGTGTGAGGCCATACCAAAGCTCTTGCGCAAACGCATGTCCATTACTATTGTAATGGGCAGCAGATACCAAGCATCATCTGTTACATGATCTGATGATACAATAAATGGGAAATATAGCTATGGAACCATTAAGGTACTTAATGACGACTCTTTATGATGTGACACATTATGGCCTCATATTGTAGGCTACAGCATTTATTTATTTATTTATTTTTTTTGACATGTTTAATATTACAATATCACAATGAGATCTAATGGGTCAAATTTTATTCATTACTGACCTCGTTTGACTAAATTAAATTAAATTTAAAAGTTCAGTTCAGTTAATTGAGTCATATTAGTTCATCAGAGATAGATGGTTAAAGAAGGGGAATTCATTAGTAGGTTAAAACAAAATGTAATAATAAGCCAGTGCTCTGTGTCAAAAAGCACAAAGAGGATGCTGATTGGATTAATCTGTCTTCACTGTTCAAACAAACTGTGAGATGGGAATTTGAATGTTTCTTCTCTAATGGGAGACCAGCAGAGAGCTGCATGGTGTCATGTGAAACTGGATGGTTACTGTTTTGAACCACTTGGGGGCAGAGCTGCACTTGGATGTACACCTTCTCTGTAATTCGAGCCTGAAGCCAGCCAGAAAGATCAGAAAGGCTGGTTTTCAACTTTTATGGCTGAAATGTCAGTGTATTTCCTTTACGTCTGAATCTTACTGAGTCAAAATGTGTAACTGTGAAATGACAAGCGCCTTTACAGCTATGTTAACTTCACAGGTGTATGATCTCAATACATTGTACATTTTTACAACCTTAACTGGAGCCTAGGAATTTCAGCTGCATGTCAGCTTTAGAACTTGCAAACATATAAGCTCATGAGCTGTGACATAAAACAATAAACTGAACAAACATTTTACCAAGGAAGCAGCACAGTGACCAATCAGCATCTGCTATCATTCAAATACAGCAGCCTATGAACAGTTTATATATACATACAAATGTGGTCTGTAGCTTTGTTTGGGTTTTTTTGGTCATATGCGTTCATCTTTGTCACGTATTATGCATTTATTATGTATGTTTGTATTTATTAATCTTGCAAAAGAAAAACTATCTCCTTATGTCCTCTCTTCAATACACCTGGGAAGACTCTTTTTGTTGCCTCATCCTTCCTTGGCAATCTTCTCCAGAAATCTTCAAACATCCAGCATTCATTGTGTGAAAGAGGGACATCTGATCACGCAGACTGTGGTCCTAACCTCTCCACCTCTATGAGGAAAAGAATACGTCTATGGGGTTGAGGACTGGAGAGCAAGGTGGAGGCAAATGTGACACCATCCTGAGAAGGGCCGTAAACCAGTCTGTGACTGGAAGAGAATGGTGAGAAGCCAATATGTCCCATACAGTTACAAAACGTTGTTGATTCTGCCATCAAAGAATGAAAATAAGTGTTCAATGTCCCAATTAGGAGTTTATGCACAGAGAAAACATTTTATTCATTTTAAAAATGTGGTCTTTGAATTCATTTTGTGAGACAGCAACGAAAAGTGATCCACCATTTTGTCCACATTAACTTTTGTTGAGGACCGTGAACTCAGTATAGAGACATGCAACTTAGCAATTGTAAAAAGAGTGTTGTTATATAATGTTACATTTGCATAAACAAAGATTCCATTACAATTCAAGGAAGGACTCCTCCTTATTGCATATTGTGCTACCTTGCAGCACACAAATGAATCTGAAAGGCTACAATATGCTTCAGCAGGCTTTATTTTCCTAGACTACAGTAAATCCTGCAATGCAACAAAAAGCAAATATGTTTTGTTGTGCTGACTGTGTGTGAGCGGTTTTGAAAACGTGAACTCAGTATAGACATGCAAACTGGCAATGGAAAAAAACCTCTTAGATCTCATTTTCAAGTGAGACCTGAGCACAGATAAGATAATGCAAGATAATGTAAAAAATCATATACATTTGAATATATAAAAACATAATAAATATAAGAACATAAAAAACTATCAGAAGGAAATGCTGTACACCATACCCATTCTGTTTGACTTCATTTTGAGGTTCAACTGTGAATTCATCTTGAAAAAACGCTTCCTGTGGGGTGCACTGTGTGTGTGTGTGTGTGTGTGTGTGTGTGTGAGAGAGAGAGAGAGAGAGAGAGATACAGAGAGAAAGAGAGGGAGGGAGAGAGAGGGGGAGGGAGAGATACAGAGAGAGAGAGATACAGAGAGAGAGCAATCAAGTCTACTTCTTTGAGTCTTTTTGTCTAACTGAACAGGCAGCTTGATGCGTTTCATATCTTGTAGTGGATAAGCTCACAAATCTGACCTACAGAGTAGAAAGCTCAGGAAAAGTAGGAAAAAGTACCAAAAACGTCTTAAGAAAATGACCAACATGGGTGTTCAGGTTGCACTCGTCGTCCTCCTGTTCATCGGTCCCCTGAAGGCTGATGAAGGTAAATATTGTATTATATATTATTTTACTTCATATTTTTAAGTCATACAGTTTCAGCTTACTGGTCTTTTTTTTAGAACAACTTATATTCTAACAAAGAAAAACACATTTAAGAGCATTTTCAAAGAAACTTCTCCAATTTCCTGTTTTTCATTTAAGCGCCTGACCTGCTAACTGCTATGTGTACTGCATGTTTCATGCCACTGTACTGTGTACCTCTTTAATTTTGGTGATTTTCAATTACTTTTTTCTTTCTTGTAGTCCAGTTTATTTTGTTTTTTTATTGTGGGCTCTTGTTGGAAATATTTCAATCTTTGTAAGACAACAGCACGTTGTAATGCACAGGAAGACTGAGATGCACATAAGATGAGTTGAAACCGATGTCAGCCCCCTGATCATCGTCCTTTCTAGCTGAAAAGTAATTGGGAACAAGGGTCTTGATGAAATGACGCACTAAAGCAAGTACACTAAAGTAAATTAATGTTTGTCCATGTGTTTTAAGGGGGAGTAAAATTCTGGAGGACAATTGTCACACTGACCTGTCCAGGAGAAGGAGATTGGTTTAACAAAGACGGGAAAAATATCAGCAGTTCAGAATCCACATATGAATTCAAATATGAAAATGACAAGAAAGGACCTTACCACTGTAAATATATCAAGGACGATAAAGACTACACATATTATTTCTATGTGCAAGGAAAGGGTGAGTAACACACCACACATTCTCATGGTCTGTGCCAGTCTCACTGAGCTTTACCTTGTCTGACTGCTGTTCTTTGTCCTCCAGTGTGTGAAAATTGTTTTGAGCTGGATGCATATCTGTTTTTAATTGCCATCATTGCTGACGTGACCATCACAGCAGTTGTGATGATGATCATCTTCAAGTACACCAAGAAGAAAAGTTCAGCTGGACTCAATCACACTCCCAAACGTAAGAAACAGATCACAGAAAAGCACAGCATTACACAAATTTACACCTCTATCTAAAAATGTTGCCTAATGCGCCTTAGACTTAAGCACTTGTGCATCTTTTTGTGTTGATACATGCTGATTTTAGTCGTATCTGCAGTTTATCTGCAATTATGCAGCTGATGCAGCTCTTGCTAATCCTATTTCACCCATTTTAAAGTGTTAAACTGTCTGTGAAATAGATTTTTACTGTCAAAGTAATGCATCATCATTATTATTAAGTAGGTACTGAGTCTGATAGCAGCAGTGATTGGTCACACATATTTCTGTCATTATCTTACAGTACCTGCTCGTTCAGCAGCCCGGAGTCAACCTGCCTCATCTTCTGACTATGAGGTACGTATTTCTTGCACTTCATTTTCTTCTCCAGAGTGACTTAAAATACACTCAGCAATAATGTTGTTTTAGCTATAAAAGTTATACATTTTTATGAACTGAAAATAATAGTTTGACATTTTGGGAAATATGTATTCTCACTGCGGGAGTTAGATAAGAAGATCAGCACCACAGCCAAGCAGCAGATGGTTAGCTTAGCTTAGCATAAAGAGTGGAAGCAGGAGAACACCTATAGCCTGGCCTGGTTAAAAAAATCTGCCCAAGAGCACCAGTATATGAACAGGTTGCACATCATTTGTTTAATCCAAACAAAAACTGAAGCGTAAAAATGACAGTTTGGGCTCTTCAAGACTCCAAGATGTCCCTGTGCCTGGCCAAAAGAAAAATTCATTGACGTAACCCATCATAAAATCTTCTGATCCAATTCTCAACAAAAAAGCAAATGAGAACAGTTTTCTAATGCCCCTGGAAGCCAAGGGTGACTGCTGTTATTATGTATTAACAAAAACATTCACACATTTTAGAAGTTATATGACTCTGTGATCAAGCTAACACCGTGTGTGTTGTGTTTTGGCAGCAACTGAACCAACGCACTCGCTCCCAAGAGACTTACTCAGTTGTGAACAGGACGGGATAAAGACAAGTCACCTGAATGCACCAGGTTGCTGGTTCACAGGCTGCACGGACGAAGACTAACATTTACAAAAGAGATACATGAACAGCAAGCGTGCTCCCGGGAGCATGCAAGCACTTGGTTTTGTTCATTCGGATTTACAGGGTCATTGGCAGAGAAAACACACATTTCCTCACTTACCCCTAGAATTACCTGGCCAGGTAAAGTAGTATAGGTTTCATTTGTTTCAGGTATAACTGAGGTGAATGGCATTTAGTTTGTGGTGCTCACAGTATTTAACATTTTAATTAAACAGATTTTTTCTGAACAAGTAGTCCCCATGAGAGTGGATTAGTAATGGTAACAGGGACATTGTTTCTGTATCTTGCTGTAATTCAGTCATTCCAACCCTGAGGATATTCCTACCTTACCAGCAGATTCACAGAAAGAACATGTAGCTCACCTAATTTGAAAAACAATTACGATTTGATAATATAGTGTATATTGACACATTACGTTTATGAGGAATTTATTACACACAGATTGGTGTTACGCTAATCTTCAATGTATTCATTGTAACTACCGCAGTCTCACAGTTTCTTACTGACGTGTATAATGTATGAAAACCGGCAAGCAAAAAGCAAACGAAAGTCTAAAATTCATACAAATGGCTGAAATTACTTTTAGAATTGTGAATGTAAGCCTGACAGGATTTCTGAAGATCATCAGCAATTCCAGGATCACTGTATATGTCCGATGTGTTGTTTTGCAATGAAATACTTTGAACAGTTCCATGAAGCCATCACATGTATCCCTATTGAAGGTGAGGTGTACAATAAAGGGGTACTTGATGATCTGAGAGGGCTCTGTGGGGTACATCAGACCAAATGGCTAATGGCTATTTTAAAGGCTTTCAATGTTGGGAGCACTATAAACTAACGTCCATTGTATTGGTGTGGGGAAAAGAAATGTCTGAAACCGACTATCTGCCTGGCTGGATACCAGTAGAGGTAAATGAGCACATGTACAGTGGCCACTTTATTAGGTACACCTGTACAGTCTAATACAGTATGCATATATATATATTTATATATATATATATATACATATATTCATATATATTCCTTTAGACCCTTTAATATAAAAAGATGGTACTGTCTAATTCACAATATTGTCATGAATAAAAATCATAACTTGTACTGTCATTGCAAATACCGACAAGTTTTCTGTACATATACTATATGTTTATGTCATTGTAAGTTCAGACTTATCATATTGTAAAAAGAACAGCACCCCACCCATTGATTCTTTCCTCTTCCCCTCCCCCTCATTCCTTTTTTTTCTTTTTGTCATTTGCGGTCAGTGTATACTGTAATTGTAACTGTGCTGGGCTCGATTGTACTGTGCTTATTGTCTTCAAATCAATAAACATTTAGTTCCCAAAACAGAGCAGAACATTTCTCTTTCTTGTGTACAGTTAGAGTTTGTTTTTTGGTTTTTTTTTTTTGCTTTTTCATTCTAATCTACTGGGTTAATCTAAGTGTTACTGCAATGGGCGCAGCATTTGTATCTAATAAATTAACCACAAACCTGTTCTCGTTTTTATTCTTCGCCCTGGTTGGAAACAGCACTTAGATGCTTCTCCGGATATAACTGCATATGATTTACGAGGTGGCCTCGAAGCCACAGCTCATATCCGTAGTACAGTCACCATCAATATATCCTTTTGAGTCTCATTTAAGTGAGTGGCACATGCCACTCTTTCTTTGGAAACATCTGACATTTCTCCGATCATACACATATATTTCATATAAAATTTATGCACAATGGAAATATTGTGTCATGTTTTGCCTTTGTTTTTGGTGCAACTGTGTTTTTTCCCAGCAGTGACTGAGCACGGCTGTACTGATGAAAATGAAACAAACAATGCCACGTAATATCTTTCCTTCATGCAGACTTATAATAATTGATTAGTTTATTACAATGTATGTAATGGTAATGTAATGGTGGCGCAGTGTTTAGTGGAAACACTCCTACACTTACTGTTTAGTTATCTTCATCTGATCTGCTGTATGTTTGTGTGAGAGAGAAACAAAGAGGCAGGGGGTTGGGGGGAGTTGTGTACAATGTGCTCCTGTATCTGTCTTAAGTTAAGTCAAACCGTTCCCACACAGAGACCTACATCTGCTCGACGAGTGCATGCGGTTATGTGAACTCGCATCCGTGCACGAACGTACACATGAGCTTGTGAGCGAGTGCATGAAACTGTGTACACATGCACTGAGTCAGATGTGTGTATGTATGTGTGTGGGTTGATCAGGGTTGCGTTTCTGAGCTGAGCTGTCTAAGCTTCGTCATTTGATCTCTCCTCTTCCTTGGGTAGAAAACTATAATTTGTAGCTTTGTAACAGCAGCATCAAGTAGAAGGCAAAAGACTCCGAGCAGTGATCAAAGAGTTTAATATATCAGATGATCTGACATGGGGAGGCTTCCTCTACGTCTAAAATCAACAAGTTCCTCTCCTCCTCCTCTTCTTTGTTACTATTTTAACCTTTCCATCTTCTTTATCTTTCTCTGTCCTCTCCTCTTTATCCTTGTTGTGTAATTCTTTCTATCACTGCTCTCTCTATGTCTCTGTATTCCTATCTATCTGTATCTTTGGTGCAACAAACTTAAATACCATAGACCCTCATACATGGTCGTGAAATACAGCAGCAATGGAGTATTCAGATCCTTGATTTAAGTAAGAGCAGTAATACAATAATGTAATACTCTATAACATGTTAATCTCCTGCATTCAAACTCAAGCCTGAATAAAAGCACAGTTATCATAAAAATGTACTTAATAATCCTTTAGATCTTTGTGGTGGTGGATTTGGTGACACCTGTGGTTACTGGTGGTAAGAGCAAGCGGGGTTTAATACAACAGGTAACATGATGCAGCTCTGATACAGCTATAGGGGATTGAGCGGTTAACAGTGAGACCGATATCAATTAGATAAAATTACAGTATTATACATTAATAAGAGTAGAAGAAGAAGATATGTACTTTACTAATCCCCTATTGAGGGAAACTTCTGTCTAGAGAGGCAATTACATATATTTACTATACACTTGTGGACATGCAACAGGGAGAGAGATGGTGGAGTGATGGGCTGCCACGTTAGCAGCGCCCCATGAGCAGTTTCTTGGGGTTAGGTTGCCTTGCTTAAGGGCAAGGTGAAACTGGCACCTCTCCAGCTACCAGTCCACACTCCATATTGTGGTCTGTGGGACTTGAACCAGCGACAGTCCGGTTCCCTAGCTACTGTTACTGCCGCCAGCCAGTAACACTGACTTACATGCATGCCAGAATACCGTGCAGGCATGGCACACTCCACTACTGAAAATGAAAACTACTGTCTAGAGGTGCAATTACAGGATGCAAATACATTGAATGGCTATTATTGAAAAAGTAGCATTCATGAATGCAATCAAAGACTCGTTTTGATTTCATGAAAATCTTGAAGATTATAACTTCAAAAGTATCCAAAGTAAAAGTGTTCATTATGCAGAAAAATGGCCCCTGTGACTAATATAATGAGATGATTAGTTGGTTGGAAAGGAAGAAAAAAGCTCTGCAACAAAAAATATCGGCACTGTATTTTTTTTAGATCTTTTTTTATGTGTGAAATTTTTGATAACTCGACCTTTTTAATCCTCAAACAATTACTAGTGAAAACCACCTGATTGGCTTAAGGGGGGAATGTCACTTTTGTGGAGCTGTGCACCACTCACTAGAAAACATGACATGAAGGGCCCTGTTGTAGTAGGAGCTGTTGGTTTGATCTCAAACAGTGCATTTTATTCTGTAAGTTTATCATTATATATATTTTCAAAATAATTTTGATCTGAAAAGTAACCAGCAACCATAGTTGTAAATGTCAGGGATTAAAAAGCATAATATTTACCTCTGAAATTCAAGTAGGGTAATTATAAAGTACAAGTATCTCATAAAAGTACGGCACTAAATGTACTTAGTTACTTTTCACAATGGCAATAGCTGCCAACATGACAGGACAGCACACTCTTTATTTCACACAGTTTTTTTATTTTGCATCATAATGATGTCAGTTTTGTTTGTCAAAATCAACACTTAGCCCTACTTACAAATACTGACAGAAAGAATAACATTAATAGAATAAAATGCTAACAAATTAGAACAATTGCTGATAAGCACTGAACTAGAGACATAGAGCATCAAGCTAAGTTGCTCATTATGTCAGAGGTCTATGAAGAGCAATATTTTACAGGCAAGGTGAAAATAAATGAAAAGAGATCCTAAGCTAAAACATCTGTATCATGTAGCATACAGAGAAACATACACTGAGTGACTCCCATCACAGATAACTTCTCCCTTCTGCAGACATTTGAGTTGCAAGGCCACGTGGAGAGTATGTCTTCAGTCTGGGGGGGGGTTAGGATCCAAGGGTAGTGAGCCACCGCCCCTCTAGTTTCTGTTGTGTAGTTCATCATACAAGTCTTTCTGACCTCTGGCCAGAGGCTGAGGGAGGGATGGTGGGTAAAGGGACAAAGAGAAAAAGAGTCATTTATCATTTCATTTTAGCAATCACATATGCTGGTTGAAGGCCCTCACATTTGAACTTACCTGATAATGTTCATCGTTGGGTCCGCTGGGTCTGTTGCTGCGTTTGTTTTGAACGAGAGGCTGTCTATCAGAGCCTGAGGAAAGATATATTGATAATATTAATATATATATAGCAACAAGCAGAGCTAAGTGTCAAACAGAGGCTAGTAGTCTGATTATTACTATTTTAATTATTTATTCATTATTATTATTTATTTTTTTAATTACATTTTGTTATTGATTATTAATACTGAGTTCTGTTATTAGGAGTATTTGTAATTGTGTTATTTAACGCTGAAGCAGCTAGTACATTTTACTACTAATGTCTATTTTTATTTAAGTTATTAAATTGTGAATGTATGATTTATTTCTTGGTTTTTTTGGTACATATGATATTGCTACTTTTACTGAAGGATCTGAGATAAACTATACTATTTGTATCCAGAGATAGTGGACTAGATAGTGGACTAGTGGTCCAGTTTGTAACATTTAGAGGATCTAGTGGCATAAGATGAATATAATATTCAATTGTTATTAGTCTATAATCACCTGAAAATAGGACTTGTGATTTTGTTACCTTACAATGAGACATTTTCATCTACAGACAGCTCGCCTTTCACAGAGTCTGAAATGTTGAACCGCCATGTTTCTATAGTAGCCTAGAACGGACAAACCAGATAGGGCCTATTGCATTTTTTGTTAGTTTTGTGGCCACCATAGTTTCTCCTACACACTTTACAGCTGGTTCTCATTCACAGGTCATCAAATAGGCTACAGATGCGAGCAGTGTTCAGTTAGTTGCAATCTAAAACTTCACCCAGCCACTAGTTAATACTAATACTAAAAACATTTTTTGGTCAACTTTTTTGTTAAGTGTTTAGAATATAATACTGAAAAAACAGGAAGACCTTCAACACATTTAAAACACTTAAAGAAATAGTTTGACTTTTCTTTCTCGCTGAGAGCCAAATGAAAAGATCAGTAGCTTCTGTTAGCTGTAGCATAAAGACTGGACAGAGAGGGAATCGGCTAGCCTGGCGCTAGCTGTGTGTGTATCATTGCAGATTTTGTAAAGACAACTAGTGGAGGCTCATTAAGCTGGTTCGGCTGTGTCTGTTGCTGTGGTTATGGCTGTAGCTGTGCCTGTGGTTTGGCTGTTATCGGTGATACATTGGTTCTGTGTAACGCTACCTATTTCCCTTAGCAGGCGATATGTGAGCAGTGAGCATGAGTGAGTATAGTCATGGTTGTGCTGGCTGAGGGTTGCGGTGAAGCTGTTCTGAAACTCCTCTGGTATATATATATATATATATATATATATATATTGGCAGCACATCTGTCATATCTGATAGAAGCACAGGGTTCAAATCCTGTGTCTGGTGTTACGATGCCTTTTCGGCTAATGTTAGCACATCCGCTGCTGTAAAGACTAGCCAGAGTGCAGCCATAGACAGCTGACCGGCTCCTCGATGTTTACACTCTGGCACTGTCAACAAACACTGATTATTGAAAGCTTAACAACTGTAGTATTTATGTACAGTATGTACTACTGAAGTGGTGCCTTTAATTAAAATGAAGTTTCATTAAAGGATAGGTTCACCGTTTTTCAAGTCTGTCTTAAAACAACAGGCAGGTGCTCATCTGAATGTTGAAACAGGTTGCTGTTATCATTCCTCCGGCTCATATTGGATATTAAAAGAGCCTTTCATACTGAGATTTCAACGTAAGCTAAGTCAGTGGTTTTCAAACTGGGGTCCTAGGACCAACATGGGTCGTTGTGTGGGTTGTAGAGGATCCCGAGCCAAAGGAGGAATAGAATATTTCAACTTTTATCACATTTCAAATGTCGGAACAATAAGATAAAAGCTATGGTTGGCTGTTTTGATTTCATTGTGATTCTAGCTTGATCATTGATGATCATTGATTGACTATGAAGACTTTATAATCTTGAAACCAAAAAATAAAACAATTAACTGCGAACCGCTGGGCTAAGTGATGTACATTTCAATCCACAATCCTCTTCTGAGCAATGTGTTTAAGAGTTTATTATCTGTAGCCGATGTGAGGCTTCAGATGCCTGACTTCAAAATTAAGTGGATATCTTTTAAATATGGTGTGTGTCCCTCTTTGTGTTACCATCCTTACACTGCAGGGGAAGGGCAAGGGGAATTATGTACTAAAAACATTGTAACTTTGGATGATACTGACTTCATTTGACAAACTCATTGCGGATTTCATGCATGAACAGGAGGAATGACTGCAGCGACCAAAACCAGTTTCAGTGTTCATATCGGCACCTGACTATTGAAGTCTTGACAAAACCTGTGAACCTATCCTTTAATTCAGTGTACAGTAATGTGTCCATGTTTATCTTGGAAATTATCTAAGAAAAACAATCATGTATTCATTGACAGACAGACAGACAGACAGACAGACAGACTTTACTTTTCTTGTGAGTGGTGTTTGGAGTGATCCGAGTCGGAGAGGCAATGAGATAGACAGCCACTCCTATCAAAATGGTAGCGACCACGTTTCCTACAACTATCCCGGTGATTGATTCCTCGTCGAGCTCTATGCAGTTGTCACAGCCTGGACACATGCACACACACACACACACACACACACAGACACACACGCACACACACGTCTTTAGAATCAGACATTTTTGACATAATCATTGCTGTCAAGAAATACTGTACACATGTAAAACCCATAAAAAAACCTTGCTGTAGAACTTACTCCGAAATTTCACATAGATTTTTGCTAAGTCAGTGTCCTCCCCTTTGGTGACACATCTGTACTCTCCTGTGTTGCCATCTCTGTATTTCAATTCCTGAATAGCTTCATTATTTGAGTTTAAAATTGTATTGCCATCACCACAATGAAGCTCAATCCCATCAGAGACAGTTTTCACTGTTATCTTTGGGTCTGTGTAGGAAAAATACAAAATTTAAATTTAGGACAATAAACCTGCAACATGTTCTGATTACTGATCTGCTTCTAGCAGATTACCTGCAGGCATAACATTTCATAAAGACATATTTAAACATGATTTAAGCCCCATTTAAAGGTTTCCTTACCTCTAGCCGTATCTCCTTGGCCAAGTGCTGTGGGAGAAATTTAGAAAATAACATGAGAACATTTACTGGGATACACTTAGCTACTATTGAACATAAAGGTCCCAAGTTTCTTAAAACCCAACTGATGTAAGCCATTTCAATTTCATGTTGTTAAAAACAAAAATCACAACAGAGGCCTACCAGTCTGTGTCAAGAGCAGCAGCAAACAGGCAGGTAAAATTGTCTGGCTCTTCATTGTGTGTTTATTACACTGAGTTCTGCTGGTGACAGAAGAAGATCTTTCACTGTATGTCAGAGTGAGCATAGTGACAGAAAACAGGAAGGGCGCCATTTTCTGCGTCCTGTCAACCATTTTATTCAGCTTATTGTAACAGATAACTAATGTTGAAGAGTGTTTTCTTTTTAAAAGAAAGTAATTTTAACTACTCTGTAATACAAACTCTGGCTTTAGCTTACATTTATTTTATATTTTAAAAAAACAAACATATAGTTTGGTCTCCATCAAAACATTACACAACAAGAGATAAATTGAAAATACAATATGATATCAAACAAATTTTAAATAAAAGTACTGACCTCAAAATAAAGAGCTGCCGTGTCCCTGCTGTCAAAGCATCCAATCCCCGTCTGTTGAAGAGTCTCGGTCTGTGTGTGTGTGTGTGTGTGTGTGTGTGAGAAGGAAGTGAGTGTGATTGGTTTATTTTCCGTCTCAGCAGACTTTGTTGATTTCTACATCTGGAGGACTCTGTGTTTCTGTGACTTCCAGCAAATGACGACATATGTCATAAAATGGTGGAATAACATTAAGTGCATTTACTTGAGTTTACTTGAGTATTTCTATCTCATGCAGTTTTATTTTTCTACTAACTCCACTAGTATTTTGGGGGAAATGTTGTAGCCTACTTTTATCAACACTACATTTATTTGACAGCTAAAGTTAGTAGTTACCCAACAAATTAAAATCTAACATACAAAATAATGCATGATATCATATAATCATTGATAAGCACTGTTAAACTCCAACAGTATATAAAAATAATTAAAATGTTATATAGCTCCATGCTACTTACACATTATGGCACCAGCATTAATAATCTCATAGTCTCATATAATATAATATATAATAGGACAGAGGCAATGTTTCTACATTGGGTACTTTAACTGCTTTATGCTTAGTGTATTTTACTAAGAATACAGTATGCTACTTTTAGTAAAGTAAAGGATCTGAATACTTTCTCCACTACTTGTTAGGATAAACTGTCAGTGGATTTAAATTGAACTGATTATGTAATATTAAATACATCTGAAGCACTCTCTGTTCCACCACTGACCAGGCCTTTATTGTTAAACATCAGGGATTTCAAATGTATCACAATTGTCAAACCTTAACTTATTTCACTGTAGATTTTACCCTCATGCCATTATTGATTTTTGTCAGCAGTTTCCACATTTTTCCAAAAGACATGAACAGCAATCTGCCAGAAGAACTCTTCACATTGACTCTGGAAATAAAGCCACTACCAGCCATACATATTAGCTGAAATGACTGCTGCTACTTACTAAATAGTTGCTCTGGGAGAATGTGTGGAGCAGCTCTATCTGATAAAACAAAGACAGGAACACAACCGTGTGTGTTCAGATTAATATTTCAATTCCCTAAATGTTTTCCCTGCAGTGTGTGACAGACTACATTCCCTGTTCTGCACAGAAGAAGCAACAGAAAGAGAGAGAGAGAGACAGAGCAAAGAGATGCTCCCACAACAAAACTCTGCTTCCTGTCTGAAGAAAAGCCACAGCAACCTGTGACCTAGAGCTAACACCTGGCACACACACATACATAAACACACACACACACACACACCACACACACACACACACACACACACACACACACACACACACACTCACAAAGTCAAACATAAAGACATGCATTATTTGTTTCTTGCACCTGTTATTGTAAAGAAAAGAAAAAGAGTATCACATTTCTTCTTCACCAAATGCAGCAATGCTCTCACCATCACACAACACACACTCTTGCCAAGTACCATGTCAAAAACATCCTTTACCCTCAGGACTAACAGAAAGTCCTCCATATTTTCCTGCTCATAAAGCACCTTAGAGCGCCCCCTGGTGAGTGTCAATAAAACCAGCACAGCAGATCCAGCAATTACTTCATATAATTTCAATATTATATCTTTATTAGACACCCTCTTTATACACATATACATATGCATACAAATATACAGTACATGACATGTTAACTGTCCATATTCAAATACTTACTCTATAATTATGTACCATCTTATTTTGGTATTATTGGTCAAAATGTCAAAGCTCACGTACAGTACAGTACATTATCTCGGACATTCTGGTGTTAGCATAGAACAATTAATGCATTCCAATAATGCAACGGGGAGGAAGACATCATGAGCATGTGGTTACAGGAGGAAATCATGTCAAGACATACAGAACATGAGCTTTTTTGATGTAGGGTTCATACTTTGCATTGAGATCAGCAGTGTATAGACCAGAGCGCTAGATTCACCAAGACGAAAACATCGACAGTTTGGTTTGTGAACAAGAAATTCCAGTTCACAGATGAAATACAGAGTGTGTTGGTACTGTATGTGGCCCAGGAACAGAAAAGGTCTGATTCCTGGTCATCCTGGACCGGCCTGAAGGTGACGGATGATTGGCTGAATGACCGACTGGCAGTTGTTCTGGGTTTCCTTTTGGAAAGCTGCACTGTTGGAAGTAGTTTTGCATGCATGTACAGTAAGTGTGTGTTTTTGTGTAGCTTTGAGGTCAGTCAGAGCCAGATCTCCTCACTGCTTGTGCTGTTCACCTTATAGATGTAGCCCACCATCGGATATCTGGCAAAACCTGGAAATCATCAGGGGAGAGCATTCAGAAAGAGCACAGCGCGAAAAAACTAAATACTCACTGCTGTTCCTCCGCGCTCAATCTGAAGTATAAATAATGAAAAATGCAACAGTATCAGAGTGTGTGTCCCTGACCTCTGGCGGCGTAGGCTAAAGACAGATCTTCCTCCTCCTCTTCCTCTTTCTTCTTCTCTCCCACACTGTTCTGCTGGGCGGCCTCTCGGGCTACGGGAAGCGATGCACGAGGGATGGAAGACACCGCAGAATGCAAAAGAGATGTAAGGATGAGTTTGAAGGGATAGTTTTTGGACAATATACTTATTCTTATTGCTGCAAATTAGATGAGAAGACTGATACCACCTTCATGTCTTTACTGTATGAAGCTAGAGAAATGGTTAGCTTAGCTTAGCATAAAGACCGGGGACAGGGAGGAACAGTTAGCCCATTTAACTCATAAATATGAGAGTAGTATCAATCCTTTTTTATGTAACTCTCTGCAAGAAAGCAAATAAGCATACTTTCCAAATGTCAAGCTACTTGCTTTGAAGCTAAAGCTAAGAGAGGGTTAGCTTAGCTGCATATAAAGACTGGAAACAACTAGCCTGGCTTTGTCAAAGGATAACAGAAACAAACAAAAGTCCACCACCAGCACCTCTAAAGCTCAACAATTGACACGCTATAAATAGTTTTTTTCATCTGCAGTTACTACTATCTCTGGGCCGTGAGCAGCAACTTCTAGTCTTTTGTGCTAAGCTAAGCTAATCGACTGTTGGCCGTACATTAACACATGACATGTTACGTGACCGTGGTATCAATCATCTTATCTGAGTGTGAATACATTTGTACTTGCTGTACAAATCTTCTAAATGCAGGATTTCAGGTGAAGAATTCTCTAGTAAAGGTTATAAACTGCACAGATGGATTAACCCAGTAGGTTTGGGGAGTAACGGATTAACAACATGAAACTGGGTTACATAATCAGGATACAAAAAATAGGTAACTAATCCATTACAGTTACATAAAAAAGACGTAATCAGTTAAATTTAGTAAAAATGGGGATTATTTAGCAAGTTTACAATTTTAAAATACATCAGTTTTTCTTTAAAAATACACTGCACTGCATGATGCTAAAAATCTTTCCATTTTTTCCGTCACCATTTTCTTTTCAAAGGTTACATTGCTCTGCTGTCTTATAGGATACATTTGCATCAACACGACTTATTGACATTTAATCTCTCTTGTCTTTGGGAAATCCAAAAGTAAGGGAAAGTAATCCAATTACGTTTAATATTGTGATACCTGGATTAGGTAATGACTACATTTTTTAACGGTAATTAGTGACTGTGGCCTCCCAACCCTGCCCACTAGGGAGGCAGGGGGCAAAGGAAATACCACAAACAAACAACAACAATGAATTGTTTGATTGAGAGTCTTGGTTTGGGAATTATCAAGAACATTTTACACTAAATCAGAAGTTTGTTGGACACCTTTGACTTGTCATTCACTTCAGATTTCAGCATGCAAGGTGCCTTTTTGTAAGAGGCTCCATTTTGCCAACCTTTAGCACTGAGCTTTGTGAAATCAACATATATTTGTATTGAGTGGTGTTTAATTACTGACTTGAGTTTAAATTGAGTTAACCTCCAGACTTTTGATATTTTGACCCATTAAAATCAACTCAGCAAATCAGAATTCATGCAAGTAAGTTTATAAGTTGTCAATATCTTATACAGTTCATATATAATTCATATGCAGATACTAAAATGTATCTTACTGTACAAGGCCAGGGGTTCCAAAACTTTTTCATGTCAAGGATCCTGACAATAGATGCGCATTAGACCATGGATCTTTTTAGGTTTCAAGATTTAATTTTAATAGTCAGTCAGTATAAAACTGGGATCACTATAATTTACAATCAATTAACAGCCAACCCTTTTTCTTCCCATGTTGTTCCAACTTCCAAAAAAAAAAAGTTCAAATACTGTGTTCCTCCTTTTGCTAGGGACCCCCTCCAACCCACTCAGTGACCCCTGTTTGTTGCTTGGAGTCCAGTTTGAAAACCACTGTACTAGCCCAATGTCTGCAGTACAGCTCCACCCATCTGTGTATGAGGTGAGGGTGTTTTGTCTTCTTAAACCTCATACCTTTTCTCAAAGTGCTGAGGTCATGAAGCTGCATGTTGGAAGGCAGAGACATGTTCTCCCTGGGGATGTGGGTCTTATCAGCTTTCTCCGTCTTCAGATTGGCAGACTCACTGTGCAGGAAATATGGAGAGACATCCAACTTGGATTATTTGTCTGCAGGATGGACATAAAGTATTCATAAGAGCAGACAAAATGCTTTCATCAGTGTTTTCCTTCCAACTTAATGATGCTGAGGTTGGAAGTTACGAGAGAAGATGTGGGATAGGTGTGTGATACAGTGCCACTGTGCTGTCAGTGAAAGGAAGCTGGTTGTATGAATTATAAAAGGAGATTGTGGATGTCCAACTATCATCTGGTTTTACTGTCAACATCAAGTTATCATTCCCTACAGTGACAGGTAGATGTGTAATGTGTTTTAATGCTAAGCCCATGCCAGAATACCTGTGTCCAGTGTGTGTGAGGAGCTATATCTATATATATTTTGGGAGAATTTGCTTTCTTGCTGAATGTTAATGTGGAGCTTCTGCCGGCAGCTTATTAGCTTAAGACAGAAAACGAGGACATAGCGGACTCTAAAACGGTAAAAAAAATCTACCTACCAGCACCTCTAAAGCTCACTTCTGAACACTTTATATCTCAAAAACTGCAAAGTGTAAAAAAGGAAAATTGTGTTTTTACAGGTCGTTTGCACCCGATTATTTCTTGGTTA